AGTCGGCTCTCAAAAGTTGTTCCTCCTACCCAGGGGCAGCGTGCGGGTTGAACTCATGCCCATCTGCCCCTCCCTCTCACCTTTGCATCTCCCAACACCAGGAAGGAGGCCAGTTGGAGAGCAGGCGGCCACATTCTTGGACTCTTGGCCTCTTTGGCTCTGACACTGAAACCTTGGGCAAGTGACACACCCTCTTTGTGAAGACCAGGTGGATTAAGCTGTCCCTGGCAGCCTGAGTCAGAGTTCACCAGAGCACAAGTGAACCCTGCTGACACCAGCTTTGCAAAAATCACAACTGAGAAAATTATGACTGTGAAAGAGATCAGACCTAATTGACCCCATCTTGCTTCTAGCCTCTAAACTGTCCTTGTTCATTCCTAGGCGTAGGCCAAATTAGCTTTGAAAAGAAATTTAGCATATAGTTTATGTAATAGCCCTTCCCAAAGGGCTAAACTGTTCTTGTAAAATGAATGAAAGGCCGCCACTCACCAAGTCAAGATGAAAAGGGCTGGAATTCTAAATATTACCAGCCATGATTCCGGAGGTCATAAGATTTGCAACTTCCCCAATTACTCTTGAAGGTAACATTATTGTGAACCTAAGATCGGCCTTCTGAGGTGTCTTTTCAGGTTTTTTTTCTTTTTAAAAGACGGGGTTTCACCATGTTGGTCAGGCTGGTCTTGAACTCCTGACCTCAGGTGATCCGCCCGCCTTGGCCTCCAAAGTGCTTGGATTATAGGTGTGAGCCACCATGCCCGGCCAAGATGTCTTTTCAGGTTTTTCTAACAGCCGGGGGACCCCTTCTGGACCCGACAACCAGTTCTGTGCCCCCCACCCAGGAACTGACTCAGCAGAAGAGAGCAGTTTCCACCACCTGTGATTTCATGCCTGAACCAACCAATCAGCACTCCCGATTTACTGGCCCCCCTACCCACCAAAGTATCCTTAAAAATTCTGAACCCCGAGTTTTCGGGGAGACTGATTTGAGTAATAATAAAACCCCAGTCTCCTGCATAGCCGGCTCTGCGTGCATTACTCTTTCGCTATCACAATTACCTTGTCTTGACAAATCGGCTATCCGAGGCAGTGGCCAAGGCGAACCCCTTGGGCGGTTACACTGTCACCTAAGATAACTCCTGTTCACAAGCTGTCTGCCAGGCTGGCTGACCTGAGTCCTAAGGTGAAACTCACATGAGGAGAAGAGTATCTGCAGCCCATGTGCTGGGCAGAGGTCTCAACAAATGGCGGATGGGCTTCACATTCCCCTTCTGTCCCCATGTTTAGGTATATGACTGATCGTCCAACTGACGGGCACAACAAAAAGGGAAAGTAAAGAAAGCTGAAAGAGAGATAGGATTGTGTCCTAATGCTTTTGGCTTTTAGGAGTTTCTTTCTTTTTTCTCCCCCCGCCCCGACCTACCACCGCTGAGATGGAGTCTTGCTCTGTTGCCCAGGCTGGAGTTAGTGACACGATCTTGGCTCACTGCAACCTCCACCACCCAGGTTCAAGCAATTCTCCTGCCTCAGCCTCCCAAGTAGCTGGGATTACAGGCGCCTGCCACCATGCCCGGCTAATTTTTGTATTTTTAGTAAAGACGGGGTTTCCCCATGTTGGCCAGGATGGTCTCGAACTCCTGACCTCAGGTGATTCACCCACCTCAGCCTCCCGAAGTGCTGGGATTACAGACGTGAGCCATCACGCCTAGCCTGTATCTTTAGTAGAGACGAGGTTTCACCATGTTGGCCAGGCTGGTCTTAAACTCCTGACCTCATGATCTGCCTGCCTTGGCCTCCCAAAGTGCTGGGATTACAGGCATGAACCATCATACCCAGCTGGCTTTTAGGAGTTTCTAGAGCTTTCTCACAAAGGTGGTTTTTAGGTAGCACCCATAAGCTTTGGCATTCCCATTACCTGGCTGGAAGGCGAACTGGGCAGTAAAAACTTGAGGCCACCAGTGGCCACAGGAAGTCATCTGCCTGCCCTCCCCTAACCTCATCAGAGAATTTGGAAACCCGGTTGAAACTGCTGCTAACTGCCTCAAAAGGTTAGGATTTAAATCAGTCCCCTCCAGGGCACTTGTGTGACCTTAAACAAGTCCTTTTATCTCTGAGTCTCAGTTTTTTTATAAAAAGGGGTGGATAGGGCTGGGCACAGTGGCTAACACCTATAATCCCAGCACTTTGGGAGGCCTAGGTAGGTGAGTTGATCACCTGAGGTCAGGAGTTCGAGACCAGCCTGGCCAACATGGTGAAATCCCATCTCTACTAAAAATGCAAAAATTAGCCAGGCATGGGAGCAAGTGCCTGTAATCCCAGCTACTTGGGAGGCTGAGGCAGGAGACTTGCTTGAATCCGAGACGGGGAAGTTGCAGTGAGCTGAGATCATGCCACAGCACTCCAGCCTGGGCTACAGAGTGAGGCTTCAATCTCAAAAATAAATAAACAAAATAAAATGGGGGGCCGGGCGTGGTGGCTCATGCCTATAATCCTAGCACTTTGGGAGGCCGAAGTGGGTGGATCACCTGAGGTCAGGAGTTCAAGACCAGCCTGGCCATCATGGTGAAACCCCATCTTAAAATAAATAAATAAATAAATAAAATAATTTAAAAAATAAAATGGGGATAACACTGGAGCAATCTGCTATTGTAAAGATAAAGTGAAGGAACACAACACAGCAGGGCACCTCTTTCATTCAACAGTTTTTTTTTTCTTTTTTCTTTTGAGACCGAGTGTTGCTCTGTCTTCCAGGCTGGAGTGCAATGGCACCATCTCGGCTCACTGCAACCTCCACCTGCGGGTTCCAGTAAATTCTTTTGCCTCAGCCTCCTGAGTACCTGGGATTACGAGTGCATGCCACCACACCTGGCTAATTTTTTGTGTATTTTTAGTAGGAATGGGGCCATGTTGGCCAGGCTGGTCTCAAACTCCTGACCTCTAATGATCCACCCTCCTCGGCCTCCCAAAGTGCTGGGATTACATGCATGATCCACTGCACCTGGCCTCATTCCACAAACATCTAAGGCCCATTGTGCACCAGCCAGGCTGCCTATGCTAGGGGATAGGGGTACATCAATAACACAAACATGGTCCTCATGCTGCTTATAGGAGAGGAGGGGTGACAGACACTCTATGAGAGGGACAGTTTGGGTTAATGGATAAGGCAACCAGGTGGATACCCCAGCCTACCATTCACCAGCTGGGAGACCCCAGACAAACTCACTTTTTTTGTTTTGAGACAGGGACGCACTCTGTCACCCAGGCTAGAGTATGGTGGCATGATCACAACTCACAGCAGCCTTGACCTCCCAGGCTCAAGCAATTCTCCCACCTCAGCCTCCCAAGTAGAGCTGGGACTACAGGCGTGTGTCACAATGCTCAGCTAATTTTTTAATTTTTTGTAGAGACAGGGTCTCCCTATGTTGTCCACGCTGGTCTTGAACTGCTGGGCTCAAGTGATCCTCCCACCTTGGCCTCCTGAAGTGCTGAGATTGCAGGCGTGAGCCAACATACCGTGCCAAGCTCAACAACTCTTTGTGCCTTACCTTCCAACAGTAAAATGCATCTGACCTGCACCCACTTCATAGGGTGGTGGGGATTACACAAGTTGACGCATGCAAAAATATTTCCAGCTCCTTCCCAGTGCTCAGGTAGTACATGTATGACCATTGCAATTAGAAGGAGATGTGTAACAGGCAAAGCTGGTAGAGATGATGTTGAGGCTGACGGCTGAGTGTGTCCAGCATGTGGAAAAAGCATGGTTCTGAAGGAGGGAGATCCCAAGGAGAGAAAGAGCAGGGTGCGCTGGAGAGCAGGAAAAGGGGTGTGGATGAAGACAGGGGTGTGAGTGAGATGAAGCTGGGCAGCAAGCCAGTTTAAGGAAAGAAGTGACATGATCACGTTTGCAGTTTTACTGCATTCATGCGTCTTTGATGATGTGGAAACATAGCACCATTTGCCTTATTTTATTAATGAACTCTCAACCCCCTAATGCAGAGATTAGGGTAATTCCTGGCCAGCCCTCATTCCCTCTGATTTCCAGCCCCACTGGCTTCCAGATCTGGCTCTCCCGGGAGGGAACCAGAGGAAGACTTAGAAAGGCTAAAGTCAGACGCAGGCATGGGGGCAGCAGCATTCTCCCCACCTGCACACCCCTTTGTGACCCAATGGAGTCAGGTGTGTCTGGGTTTGAAGGGCTAGGCAAATACTTTCTCGAGCGTTGTGACCATTCAGCCATAAACGCAGTGACCTAGCCTGAATGCCGCTTCATAGTATGTTCTCAGTAAATGCCAGTTTCACGTCTTTCCTCTCTAAACACAGTCTTCTTTCCTCCCCCTCACTAGCAGGCTGGGAGGGCCAAAAGGAGGAGATTAGGGTGGGGGAGAAACCGACTCTTAGGAAGCAGGGGAAGCGCTTTTTATTTATAGTGCCGTTTGCAAAGGGGCAAACTGTTCTGTCACCAGCCCCTCCACCAACTTTACGGGGTGGGGGAGTCACTCCCCCCGCCACCCCCCGCAATCCTCAATAACCTGTAACCTGGGGAAAGGGTCCCGAGGGTTGGGCCGGGACGCTGCGACTCCGCTGGGTCATCCCGGGCCTCCCACTGGGTTTAGGACCCCAGAACGGGACGGGCAGGAGGTGGAGGTCCACTTCTGCTCATCTCAGGAGTCGGAGCCCTGGAGACGGCGGATGAGAAAGTGCACAGCCCTGGCAATTCTGGGTGTGTGGGCAGGGATTTAGCGTATGCCAACAGCCGCTCTAGTGAGGGTGCCCCCGCCCGCGCTCCTAGGAAGGGCAGCGCTCCATCCCCACCCTCCTACCCTTTCCCCCAGCACCCAATCCCACCTTGGCTGGCGCTCCGGGAGCCTCCGGGACAGCCGGGAGGCGTGGCCTCGGGCGGCCCGCCCCTTTGATATGCGCCGGCCCCGCTGTGATTGGACAGTCGCTTGTGACGTGTGGGGACTGCGGTGGGCTCCGCTGCTGCAGCAGCCGCAGCGCCGGCCGCCGCTCCGGCTCCGGCTCCGGCTCCCGGGCATTTAAAGGGGACGTGGCGACTGCCCGGGGGGATGGGGGGCAAGTGGAGGGGACGGTTCAGACGCACGTCATCCTCGGTCCCTCGGGACTGGAGGGACTCGTGAGCCGGAGCCCAGAAATCCGGGGGTGGAAAAGACACCGCGTCCCCTCCAATTCCCGTAAGCACCCCTTGCTCCATCCTGCGCCCCAATACCTCAGCTAGTCCCTTTCCCCATTCCTTATACTCCAAACTCAGCTGGGACAGACCTCTGCCGCCGCCGTCCCCACGTGAGTCCTGGGCTCCGGGAGGTAGGGGAAGGCTGGGGTCCCGGCGCGGGGTGGGGGCTGTGGAGTTTGGAGGCGCTCCTTCACGCGCGTGGCAGTGGGGGAGTTCTAGAGAGCTGGAGTGAGTCCCCTTCTCTCTCCTACCCAGGAACATAGTGCCGGGGTGTCCCTCCGTCCCCGGCTCCGGCAAAGCCAAGGAACTGGTGTCCCCTTGCTCCCTGCCACCCACAATACCCCTCCCTGAGCCGCGCACCCCCCGTCCGCATGGGAGCCCAGCGCCCGCCAGCTGGGGGTGCGCCAGAGTGCTGGCTTCCCAGTCACCTCTAAAAATATCTCTCCCCCAACCCCACCGGCAGCTGCTACCTCCCTGCCCCTAGGATCCCCTCCTAGCTTGTCCGCCCAGCCAGGGAGTGCCCAGAGGTGACTGCTACTCCCAGACGCCTCCCTGGCACCAGGGCGCAGGGCCACCACCGCCAGCTGATCAGGACCGCAAGCTCCCAGCCCATGGGAGTCTCCAGAGCCAAGGGGGAAGCTCCAGCTGCAATTTTCCCAAGAGGCGCCAGAGACTCCTGAGTTCTAATCCCCGTTCAGATGCTGTGTGACCCCCGGGATGTTAGCTTGACCTCTCTGGGCCTCTGTTTTTCCTAACTGGTGCTCGCTCAGGCGTGGTGAGCATGGAAGATAGTCACTTTGGGGGGCACTGTCTGGGAGAGGGAGGGAATTCTAGCTTAGTTGTCGGATCTGATTTCTAGTGATTGATACAAGGTGACTTGCTTTTGGACAGAAAGGGCTTGTTACTGTGGTCTTTTAGGGGTCCTTGCCTCCCTATTCTCATTCTGCACATTTCCTGTGGAAAACGATCCCAAAACTTTCCTGGGAACTCCATCCACCCAGTAAGAGGAGAATTTCAAACTTAGAGCCTAAGCCAGAGAGGGGCCTGTTTCTCTGCCACCCCCTTCCCACAGATTTAATCTAAGAGCATTTGTGTGAAAGGCGGGAGGAAGCAGGCAGGAATGTGTGACCCGGTGCAGAATCAGGGAGTCAGGCGCTGCTTTTAGATGGGACAAGAATATGGACTCCCTACAACCCCCCAGAAGCCCTTCTCCCTGCTCTAGCCTGTGGGAGAAGCTCAGATCCTTCTCCCTACTTTAAGGGACTCTGTTTGGTGACCACAAAAGGATTTGATGACTCAGAACAAAGGTGTCAGAGGTGAGAGACCTTTTGGAATATCACAGGAGCCAAATTCCAACTGGGATGGGGTTCCTCTGACTCCTGTGGGGTGAGGACGAGGTGTCACCGCATGGCCTTCTCAGTTTCCAGGGGAAGAAACCCAAGATGCCTGGCCTTCTGCTTTGGAGACTAAAAGAAACAAGGACAACTCACCAAACTGAATTCCCTAGATACTATTATTAGCAGAAAAATGTAACTGTCGTTAATGATGAGAAATGAGTTTTTTGTGTGTTTTGGGGATGGGGTTACTCCTTCTGTCACCCAGGCTGGGGTGCAGTGGTGCCATCACAGTTCACTGCAACCTCCGCCTCCTGGGTTCAAGTGATCCTCGTGCTCCAGCCTCCCAAGTAGCTGGGACTACAGTCACAAGCCACCACACCCAGCTAATTTTTGTTTGTATAGAGACAGGGTTTTGCCATATTGCCCAGTCTGGTCTTGAACTCCTGGACTTAAGTGATCTGCCTGCCTTGGCCTCCCAAAGTGTTGGGATTACAAGTTTTTTTTTTTTTTGAGACGGAGTCTTGCTGTGTTGCCCAGGCTGGAGTGCAATGGCATGATCTCGGCTCACTGCAAACTCCACCTCCTAGATTCAAGCGATTCTCCTGTCTCAGCCCCCTGAGTAGCTGGGATTACAGGCGCATACCACCATGCACAGCTAATTTTTGTATTTTTAGTAGAGATGGTGTTTCACCATGTTGATCAGGCTGGTCTCGAACTCCTGATCTCATGATCCACACGCCTCAGCTTCCCAAAGTGCAGGGATTACAGACATGAGCTACCATGCCCAGATGGGATTATAGGCTTATGCCACCCTGCCTGACTGAAAAATGAGAAGATTTGACCATAATTAATAATCGATAGAATAGTCAAAAAAAAAAAAAAGGAAGAAAGAAACAAGGGCAAAGTAATGAAATCCTCCTATATGGGATGAAAGCTGGTCTCTGGGTAGCTGCTGGTGACCCCTTGGAATTTTGTATCTGCCCCTTGCCTCTCTCCAGGTGACGCACATGCCTGTCCTGTTTGCTTTTACAAGGGGAGTAGCATCCCTGACCTTTCTCTTATAACTTACCTGGCTGAGGTTGGACATGTGATATCAGCTGGGATTCTGGAAGGTTGGAAGTCCCTCCAGATAGAGACTGGGACTGCTCCAACTCATACCATTTCCTTGTCCCTCATGCAACCCTTCCCTTCTCTCCCACCTCCTCCTTGAGCTGCCTCCTCTCCCATCCCCCACCCTCTCTGCCCACTGCTTTATTCAGCTTTGACCACCTCTTCCAATTCCTAGACTAGAAGTTCTTGGAAAAAACTGAGAGCCACATTCCATCCCTGCAGAAGGACTGAACACATGTGTGGGCAGGGTGTTGTAAGGAAGGGGGTACTGCAAGATGGAGAGTGCTAGAGCCTGTGCCTGCTCCTGGGATGCCACAGTTTCGGTCCTGGGGCAATTGCTTCTCCCTCCTGAATAGTCACGGGAGAGTGTCACCTTGACAGAGGGGGTTACAGTGTCACCATTGTCGCCACCAGAGGGCAGCAGCCAGCCAGACCTTTGCTCTGTGGGTCTCCTCTCCTGGCTCTCTGTATCTTTCCAAATCTTGTCCCAGCTGCCTGTGGTCTCATTCAACCCCAGGAGCATGGGTGGGAGAGTAGAAAGACACCGGAACCTGTAGATGATGTCCTTTGCCGCTGTCTTGGTGAAGTCCCCAAGAGGCTAAACCCAGTCCCCAAAGCCACACCAAAGTCTAGCCGAGATTTCAACCTGACTCTCCTGTCTGATTGCCAGACCCCTTAGAGCACCAGGGAGGCCATTCCCAGATCATCTGTGAGACCCGGCTGGGGGTCCCAGACCCCTAGCTATGGTATAGTAAGTTTTGGTCATCTCCTTCCTTTTTGAGGGCATGGGGAATGCAAAGCTGTGGTCAAGCATTCATGAAGCAGTCTCTGCTCCAGGTAAACATCATGGCTGGTTAGTTAACCTCTCTGAGCCCTTCTCATTGGCTGAATTCATGACTGATGAGTAGTGAGAGAATACGGGTGAAGGTGATTTGTAAACGATGATTTATCAAACACATTTAAAGGACAATGATGATACCTGAGAAAAAAACTGGTCTCAGGATCAGATCTGGGCTTGAAGTCTGTTTGCCATTTACAGTGGGTGACTTTTGGAAAACTCAATTAACTTCTCTGGGTCTCCAATGCCATCTGGAGTTGTAGGGAACCTCTCTAGAGTTGTAGGGGACTGTTAAGAGGATACCTAGCAAGTGCTTTATGGTCCGTAGGCTCTGGGCCTATCTGAGCAGTTGTTTTGGCTGAGACCGTGGGAGTGCCTCCTGGGGGTCAGCAGAAGGACCAGGGCCAGGTGGGTATTGGTGGTGGAAGCAAAGCAGCTGGCTGGACACCGTCAAATGAACTTCTGTGGTTGTCAGGAACTCGTGACGACGGCTGGAGGCCAACAGAGTCCCTACAGGTGGTGCCCCCTGTGATGCACCAACAATGAGTGGCTGTTTTCCAGTTTCTGGCCTCCGGTGCCTATCTAGGGTAAGTGATTCCCTCCAGGGGTCTCCTAGGATGAGGCCTCAGCCCCCCCCGTTTTCCATCTCCAGTTAGGAGAAGCCCTAGCCAGCCCATTTTAGGCTTGCCCTCCCCTCTACTGGGGCTTCATTAATCCCTAGAAGCTTCCGTCTCAGGTGTGGGGTCCCGAGGCTTTATATCTGCAATTTGAAGGACCCTGGGCCACTGAAATGCCCACTCGATGTTGATGATCAGAGGGTGACTCTAGGGATGAGGTGGAAGGGACAGTTTGGTTAGGGAGGTGGACAGCCAGTCGAAATCCCAGCTCTGAAATGAGGAGATTGGGCTTCTGTTTCCCGAGGTGTGCCAGGCCATAAGCACCCCAGGAACATGACAGAGGGGCTTAGGAAGAAACCAGAGGAACACTCCCTTCTCAGTGAACTGCAGGAGGAGCTGGGTGGGAGAAAGGCAGTGTGTGGGTATCTGGAAGCTGCATGTCACCTGCTAACTCTGCCCCTCTGCCCCTCTCACATACTGGCAGGCAAAGGTGACTGGGACTTGCTGCTGAGGGCTCTGGCTGTCTCCATTGCTTGCCTTTCCTTGTGCCCAGCCAGGTCCCCTGTTGTCCTCTGTCCTCTCCCATGCTGCCTACCACCCTCCCCTCCAGCATGACTCTGGCCCAAGGCCTCCACTTCCTGGAATTCCCCTACCCCTATCCCTGCTGTGTCTTCCTGTCCAGCGGTCTGGCATGGCTTTCTCCTAGCCCTCTCCTCCACACCCCCAAATCCCCACTGCCTGCCCCCTCCCACTCCTCTGCCTTTTCAGCCACTGCTGCTCTCTCTCTTCTCCCTTACCTGTCTCCCAGGTATGTCGTGGCCTGGTGTGGGAGGTTCCTACCTCCCCAAGCCCCACTGCTTCTCCTGCTGCCCGCTTGCTTCGGACTCTGACAGAAACCCCACCCGCTGACACGTTCCTCCTGGGGAATTGGCAAGTGATTAGTGATGAGCTGTCAGCATAGGGCCCTAAAACTCCCTGGAGAAGCTGTGCCCCATCCCATCCCATCCCTACACTCCTGTCCAGTGCATTGGGCTGGAAGCAGCTCCCATAGAGCCATAGATTCCCCATGGCCCAAAAAGGGAATGAGGAAGCTGGTCCAGTTGGGTGGATGGGTGGTTTCCCTTGACTCTGCCTCAGGGAATGAGGGAGGGAAGCATTCCCACCGCCCTATCTTAATCCACACCAACAACAGGGGCCACTGGAAGTCTCCAAAACAGTCCAGTCCAGAAGCTTCCCCAAAGTCCTGATCATTGGAAACCGCTCTTCCCTTCTGTTGACTCTTGTTAAGCCCCATTGGCCCATCATGAGAGTAGTGGGAACAGGTGCCGAGGAAGCCTTCTGGGCATATTGCGGTTAACTGAGAGGTGCCACTGGGATAGTCAGGGAAGGCTGGGGATAGGGGTGGTGGAGTTGGGTACTCCTCCCAGCTTAACCAGCCTTGGGTCCTCCTCAGGTCTTGGATGTGCCAGCGCCTCTGGCCGCGGCCCGCTAATCAGCCTCTCCCCGGCCGGCTCCCGCCGCGCCTCCTCTCGCTTGCCCCCTCCTCCTCCTCCTGCTGCTCTCCCCCCTGCTCCCAGGACGGCGGGATGGCCGCGCAGGGCGCACCGCGCTTCCTCCTGACCTTCGACTTTGACGAGACTATCGTGGACGAGAACAGCGACGACTCGATCGTGCGCGCCGCGCCGGGCCAGCGGCTGCCAGAGAGCCTGCGAGCCACCTACCGCGAGGGCTTCTACAACGAGTACATGCAGCGCGTCTTCAAATACCTGGGCGAGCAGGGCGTGCGACCGCGGGACCTGCGCGCCATCTACGAAGCCATCCCTTTGTCGCCAGGCATGGGCGACCTGCTGCAGTTTGTGGCTAAGCAGGGCTCCTGCTTCGAGGTGATTCTCATCTCCGATGCCAACACCTTTGGCGTGGAGAGCGCGCTGCGCGCCGCCGGCCACCACAGCCTGTTTCGTCGCATCCTCAGCAACCCGTCGGGGCCCGACGCGCGGGGACTGCTGGCTCTGCGGCCGTTCCACACACACAGCTGCGCGCGCTGCCCCGCCAACATGTGCAAGCACAAGGTGCTCAGCGACTACCTGCGCGAGCGGGCCCACGACGGCGTGCACTTCGAGCGCCTCTTCTACGTGGGCGACGGCGCCAACGACTTCTGCCCCATGGGGCTGCTGGCGGGCGGCGACGTGGCCTTCCCGCGCCGCGGCTACCCCATGCACCGCCTCATCCAGGAGGCCCAGAAGGCCGAGCCCAGCTCGTTCCGCGCCAGCGTGGTGCCCTGGGAAACCGCCGCCGACGTGCGCCAACACCTGCAGCAGGTGCTGAAGTCGTGCTGAGGACGGCCGCCTGCAGGGGGCGCCAGAGCCAGCGGCGGAGGGGCGGGGAGTGGGGATTCGGGAAAGACAAAGTTAGTTTTACTACTTCCCTTTCCCTTTGGCTTTGCTATGTCCCTCTGGGAATTTCTGGAATCTCGTCCAGTTGGTGGCTTGGGGAGGGGACTCAGGGCCTTCCCTATCTATGCATTTAACCCGCCTCAGCCGCCTCCCCCGCTCCACGGCGCACGGTTGGGTTAGGGAGTCTGACCCATCGCGGGGTGGCGCGCAAACCCTGGAAGGCAGCAGTGTTTCTTGCTCTTCCCAACTGGGAGAAAGGGGCCCGGCAGGTGAGAGAAGGAGCTTCTCCCGCCGCTGTAACTGTTGCCTCGGACCACGTGACTGTCCCCCTCCAGTCTTCTGTGGAGGGAACCCAGGATCCTGAAATCCTCGTGGCCGCAAGGACTCCCCGCGGAGACAGAGGAGGGTCTCCGCCTAGGGTCCCAGGCCTTCGCGATCTTGGTTCACCCACCGCGACCCCACACTGTTTCTGTGCTGTCAACACCCTCTTGCCTCCCGATCCCCGCACTCCCTTCTAGCACCCCCCAAAGGAAAAGCCAGAGGGAACAATCGCCTCCTGGTGGTGGTATGACGTAGCGCACCATCCGGCTCGGGTCCGGCCAGCCAGTAACTTCGCAGCGCGCGACGGTGTCTCCTTGCACCCCAGCCTCGTCTATACAGCAAGAGACCAGGGACTTCAAAGTCGCCCTCGCGGGCTGAGCCCTCCGCGCACTACCCCCATGGAACAGAAAGCCATGATGTTTTTAAGCAGAACCAACGAAACCCTAGCCCCTCTTTCCTCTGGCGTTTTAGAACTATAAAGGAGGTGAAGGGGGAAGAAATGACAGATCTCTTGCACATCAGTCTGAGTTGAGAGTGAGGTGCTCTCGGAGAGCCCTGCTTAAATCAGGGAGATCGTCCCCACTCTTGGGCAAGTGCCCAGCCACATATGAACACCACGCGCACAGAGAGCGGTGGGCAAAAGAGCAAGCTGCGGTCAATGGTTGCAGAGGGGCGTCCTGGGTCCAATGTGGCCTGCACTTTGTGGGTACCGAGGGGATGGGAGATGCTGCTTCTGGGGCAGCTGGTGGGTTGGGGGTTGGAGGCTGTAATTAGCAGCAGCCTTAGAACTGGGATGCTTTTCAATACCTCCTGGCCCCTTATCTCTGTGGGGCAGTCACAGGACATCATCCGTTTTATTCAGAGTTGGCACTTGCAGCAGGAGACCCCGCCCCGCATGGAATAGGGGTCCTCTGTGGACAAGCTTCTTGGGGTCCAGCTCTTCCCATCTGCAGCAGGCCTCTGAGTAAAGTTCTCTCTCCCCACGACCCCCTCCCCTCCACGATGGGAGGAGGGACAGAACACGGCTCACAGCCCAAGAGGTGGGCAGAGTCAGTCCATCTGTGACCAGAGCTGGTTTTGGCCTGGGACTCATGAAACCCACTCAGTGCAGAGAGCGGCTGCCCAGAGAGCCCTGGACTGTCAGCAGCTGGGCTCCACATAGTTCCCTGGGAAGAATCCAGTCCCCTCTGAGCTGACGCCCTCGCACCAGCCATCGGAGTAGCGGCGAGTGACACAGATGATGGTGCCCTCAGAGAAGGAGAGCTCATTGTCCTTCTGGCCGGTGTATGGGTACAGTGTCACCACTGCAGGCCAAGAGAAGAGGGTGCTGTGAGATGTGCCTCTTGCCCTCTCCCCTCCACCCCCCACTGCCGTGGGGAGGCAGGATCTCAAGTACTAGACTCCAGGGGAGAAGGCTGTATGTAGGAGAGGAACTTCTTCCAAGTTTTCAGGACCCCTCCCCAACTTAGTTAATATTTAATACCAGGCCAGCCGCCCTCTCCCCAGCTCTATTCTGAATTCATCAGGAAAATTGTGTGTGGGGCCCACACCTTTGCAGAGGGAGGGGAATGGGGGTCAGAGCAACAGGGAGTGGGATCCGGTGCCTCTCAGTCCCAGAAGTCAGGTACCTTTCTCCAAGTATGAGGCAGGCACCCAGCTGGGCTCATCGGGCCCAAAGCCTGGTGGCGGTGGGGGCAGCCCCAGTTCATCTTCATCCAGGGGTGGAGGAGGAGGCAGGTCCAGTGGCAGGGGCAGCTCTTCGTCTTGGGGGAAAAGCAGAAAGGCTCTAAGTGTGGCACAGGAAACTCCAGTGTGTCAGGGAACTGTTAGAGAGCTGGGCCCTAGAATCCACCTGCCAGGCGCAGTGGCTCACGCCTGTAATCCCAACACTTTGGAAGGCCAAGGCAGGCAGATCACCTGAGGTCAGGAGTTCGAGACCAGCCTGGCCAACATGGTGAAACCACGTCTCTACTAAAAATTAGCTGGGCATGGTGGCACACACCTGTAGTCCCAGCTACCCGGGAGACTGAGGCAAGAAAATCACTGAACCCGGGAGATGGAGGTTGCAGTGAGCCTAGATCTCGCCGATTCACTCCATCCAGCCTGGATGACAGCGAGAGACTCCTTCTCAAAAAAAAAAAAAAAAAAAATGCACCCAACTCATGCAATCTTCCTCCAGCCTGCTCCTGTCCTCCCACAGTGCTGCTGGCACGTAGTAAGTGCTCAGTAGACCCTGAAAGATCATCCAGGAGTAGAGGACAGTCAGACTCTGCCTCTTATTAGCTGGGTGACCCTTGGGCAAGTCACTGAACTTCAGCTTCAGTGGCTTCGTCTGTTAAGGGAGAGTATAAAGACCCTCTCGGGATGAAGTTTATTTTATTTTTTGAGAGGGAGTCTTGCTGTGTCACCCAGCCTGGAATGCAGTAGGGCAATCTCAGCTCACTGCAGCCTCCGCCTCCCGGGTTCAAGTGATCCTCTTGCCTCAGCCTCCTGAGTAGCTGGGATTACAGGAATGTGCCACCATGCACAGCTAATTTTTGTATTTTTAGTCATGTTGGCAATATTGGTCTCGAACTCCTGACCTCAAGTGATCCGCCCTCCATGGCCTCCCAAAGTGCTGGGATGACAGCCGTGAGGCATCCCACCTGGTCCTCAGGATTCAGTTTAAATGAGCAAATGGATGAGAAGCTTTGAACATAGGACCTGGTATCTAGCAGGCACTAAGTTATATTAGTTCGTTTCCTCCGCCTCTTTCGCTGGCGCGCTGCCCTCCTTGGAGGAGCAGTTCACTGATGCTAGCTGGGGTAGACCCAAGGAGGGTGGGCTGAGGAGTGGCAAGAGACAGAAAAGCGACCCCGCGGTTGGGACGTAGAAGGGGCGGAGCTCCTTACCCGGTGGGGGCGGGGACAACTCTTCCAGCGGGGGAGGCCGCTGGAACACCTCGACGGCTGCTGGTGGAGGAGGTGGGTCCAAGGAGTTGGGGAGAGGTGGGGCTGGGGGTGCCGTCTGCCGCTTGGGCGTGGAGGCCCCACCGACACCTTCGGCGCTGCTGGATACCAGAGAAAGCGGGGCTCGGCCGGGTTGGCAGACACACGTTCCCCGCGGCAGCATCCCCAACTGGCCCCACTCCTCCAGTCCTGAATGCAGCCCCGCACGTGCGACCCAGAGTCCTCTCAAGCCAGGAGTCACTATGACCACCGGCAGGAGGCCCCTCTCAAAAGCGACCTCCCACCCTCCACCCATCCACGTGGGCCTGTAGGTCTCACCCAGCCGAGGCCAGGGAAGAGGCGGAGGAGGCGGCGGAGAGTTTGCCATCGGGCACCACCGGGAGGTGCACTGGCTCGGGAATTCGGGGTGGTCTCCTGTCGGGGAACGGGGAGTGGGTATTAGGAGGGAGGAGGAAGACTTCTGGCCAGCAGGGGTCGGGTGCAAGCAGGAAGGGCAGCTGGCCGAGGGGGATGTTTGGCGCCGGGCATCCAGCAAGACGGCCTCAGCACCCGGGCGCCAGCGGTGGGTGGTGAGGCGGGGGAGGAGAGTTTCAGGGTCGCGCGGGGCAGGGCCAGGCTGGTTGGAGTCTCAGCGAGGTCTCACCCTAATGTGGCGGAGGTGGGTGTGGCAGGGGCCTTGATGCTCTTTCGAGACAGGGTGCCGGTCCTTGACAGCTGCGTGCTGAGGTCCTGCGAGGAAGCTGGAGGTAGGGCTGACATTTGGGGGGAGGGGCGGCTCCCTGCCCTCATCCCCAAGAGGAAATGGGGGGGGCAGATGAGAACCTGGAGGGAGAGCCTGGCATGGCCAGTTCCTACTTCCACTTCTCAGGCTCCTCTCCTACCCTTCCCCCACCCCACCCCTTTGTCATTGCCTGGGTTCTGGGACTCAATTCTGCTAAAGCCGACAGCCACTTCCTCTGCACAGCCACAGCGTGTTGAGTCGGCCCAGCACCCCCGTCCCTCCTGCAGACCATCTCAGAGCCCAGGAAGCTGGGGCCCTAAATTTGGTGCTCCCTAACCTTGATTGGGCTGGGGGGGGTGGGGAAAGGAGAGGACATATCACCCTTAGAAGTGTCTCACCTGTCATTTTCACAGATTTGTGGAATTGGCTTGGGGGAGTTAGGGCAGAGAGGAGCAGGACCCAGGCCACTTAAGGGGGATGTGCAAATGACAGGGCACAAGCTAACATGAAAAAGGACACTTCGGCCAGGCACAGTGGCTCACACCTGTAATCCCAGCACTTTGGGAGACCGAGGTGGGTGGATCACTTGAGGTCAGGAGTTCAAGACCAGCCTGGCCAACTTGGCAAAACCCTGTCTCTACTAAAGATACAAAAAATTAGCCGGGCATGGTGGTGCATGCCTGTAATCCCAGCTACTCGGGAGACTGATGCACGAGAATCGCTTGAACCTGGGAGACCGAGGTTGCAATGCACCAAGATTGCACCATTGCACTCCAGCCTGGGCGACAGGGTGAGATTCTATCTCAAAAGCAACCAACCAACCAAAAGAGCCAGGCACAGTAGCTCACACCTGTAATCCCAGCACTTTGGGAGGCCCAGGCAGGTGGATCACGAGGTCAGGAGTTCAAGACCAGCCTGGCCAAGATGGCGATACCCTGTCTCTGCTAAAAACTACAAAAAATTAGCCAGATGTGGTGGCAGGTGCCTGTAATCCCAGCTAGTCGGGAGGCTGAGGCAGGAGAATTGCTTAAGCCCAGGAGGCGGAGGTTGCAGTGAGCCAAGATTGTGCCACTGCACTCCAACCTGGGTGACAGAGCAAGACTCCGTCTCAAAAAATAATGATAAAATTAAATTTTAAAAAAAAGAAGAAAGAGGGTACTTCTGTTACCATTGGGGCTTCCCCAAGGGGCTCATACAGTGTTACCTCATTCATGTCACCAGGGGCAAACAAAAGGGAGTCGAGCTGAAGCAAAAAGAATGTAAGTTAAACAACAGAGGCCTTACTGGTGGGAAGGAGGCCTGGTGGCTGGAGGAGAGAGTGTGGTTTCCCCTTTGAGGGGGCTGATCAGTTAAGGATATCAAGGGCTTCATTTAGATACAGAAGTGTCAAAGTATGGATTCAGGAAGTGAAAATGGGACGGGTGTGAGTGGATGTCTCCGACCTCACACAAGGACACGGGCTGAGAAGGCGCCCTCGCCATGCTCCAAGTCCTCTTTGTGTGGCTGCATCCCCGCTTCTCACCAACAGCAGCTCTGGGGCGACTGCTCAGTGAAGTGACCTCAAACCCCCAGACAGAGGAAGTTGCTGTTCTCATGTGGCTGGGAGCCATTCTCATGCACGCCCTGACATCCTCCCTTCCCCTTCTTCCCCTTCCCACATGCCTAGTGCCCACGGGGGCAGGGAGGGGGGCAAGGGGTGCTCAGGATCTCACACTCAGCAGATCCTCTGAGGACAGTACAGACCAGTTTTGGAGGGAAGGATTACAAAATCCGGGGAGAGGGAGGAGAGCTCAGAGGAGTGGCTTCAGGGAGCGGTGGGGGGTGGGA